ATTTTCATTTTCCAGGTCCATCTTTGTTTGAAACACGATTGAATTTTTCCGACACTCTTGGGGCTTGTCGTCAGTCTCTCCCCATTGCTTTGAATTCAACGACTCTCGTGTGTCTTGCTTCATCGAATTCATTCATTGTCTCTTTCTTGTAGATTGCTGAATCTTATCTGTACAATCTTCGTGCTCTCAGGAATTTGTGGCCCGTATTCTTCGAAATTCCGGATATTGATGTTGAAGGAGTGTGTTGCTAAATCTGTATCATTGCCCTTCCAGAGCTGCTCACTTGTTTGCCTTTTGTAGATCGTGCAAGAATTCGTTCGCTCACCCTTTTGCACGCTACTCCTCCAGTTTCTTTCATCAGCAACAGTCCTGAACCCGCAACTCGCTCACCTTGAAGTTGAGTTTCTTCAATTTCTCAACATTTTGATCAACTCCGCCCATTCAAGGTCTCTTGCCATTGAGCTCGTTTCTCCATTCGCTGCAATAACTTCTCTAGCGTTCCCAGATCGTCGACGATCAATTCTACCAGAATCTTCTTTCCTTCTCCAGATTAAAGAAGGGTTGAACAATCAGAGCAACATTGGAGTTGAAACTGTTTGTGAATTGGTTTCTATTCTATACGACGTTCTTCGTCTATCGTTTTCTCTGTATTCAGCATCAATTCCTCTCCACACCATTCGTGAAATCCTTCATAAATTGGAACTTCAGTCTTCAACCATCTTCACAACGATCAGACCTGTTCATAATAACGCATTCCTTCAATCTCAAAAACTACAAACACTTTGCAAAAGTCTTTTGGACAAGCAACCACTTGAGCCGCTTAGTGTAGGTCCCTCAGTGTCCCAATGTCCCAATTTCCTTCACCTTTTTCAATTTCGTCACCATCAGACCGAATCATCAACTCTTCCACAAAGTCCTTCAACTCGATATTCCATCCCTTGCTGGAATCAATCATGCGGGCGAGTTTTTTGTGTATCCAGATGCAAACAGTCTCTTTATTGCAAGAAGTGAGAAATACCTCTCCAACCGAATTCATTTATTTTTTCAAGATGCTACGTTGCCTCCTATTGTTCGGAGCTTTGCGCTCGTTCCCATTGGAATTCCAGACATAAACGTGTGAGTCTCAATTCATCAGCTGACTAACACAGCTTTTTCAGGACTGCCAACGTTTCGCAAATCCACCCACATTTCTGAGATTTTTTTTGTTGGATCCATCAGCGCTGAAACAACTTCCTCCTTCAGGGGAACGACTGTTAGAGGTCTTTGAACGTTTTGCAAGTTCTTCTTCAGACTGGTCCAACCGACCATTCGTTCGTTTTTTCTAGTTAGACCATTTTTTCGTTCAGAAAATCCAAGAAAATTCCTGTTAGGGACTGGAAGAGACGGAATCCTTGAACTCCTCCAGTTTTTTCGAGACTCTCTTCCTTGGCATTTGAAGTTGCTCTTCAAGTTGCATGGAATCTTTGTCCTGACACGAAATGAGATTTCTACAAGGTCGAAGCAGAATGAATAGAGACCTGAATTATCAGTTGTTTGGAAGTTTTGATTGTTGAAATCGAAATCGGAGATGGAAGTCTCGTATGCAATTTGAAGGTCGGGAAGGGTTTCCATTCTTGGCAAGAATACACGATCAGTAGAAGAGTTGGAACCGTCGTAGCAGCCTTTGCAAATTGGAGAATAAAGAAAGCTCAATGCAGCGCTATCCTGAAACAGTAAAATGGATGGGGCGAACAAGAATGTTGCAAACCTCAGGGCCGACTGATTCTGCAAGTTCATCAATCAACTGGAAGAGTTCCATTTCCAAGTTCTGAATCATTAGAGTAGCGAGCAGTATGCTTCAGCAACTCACATACCATGGGGTTCTGCAAGTTACCACTACAGTTGATGGAGTTGGGGTCATCGTTTGCATCATAGTACCATCCACCCTCCAATGGTTCGTTATTGGGTTTCGGCGACTGTGTATTCTGACCCTTCGGTTTCAAGTCAGGCTCCTTTTCTAAAGCGCGCACCCGCTGCGTGCGCTGCTGATAGATTTAAACTCCAATATCAATGAGGAGTCCGCGGTCTCACCGTTGACAAACTGATAATCCTGTTTTGCAACTTCTTCGAAGTCGATCGCTACAAAGAGGGGAAGATGCGGCTGTGGCTGCTGTTGCTGGGCCATACATTTCGAGTAAACAAAGTACGCAGCTTCTCATTTAGTGCCTTTGCTTCGAGCCTTGAACTAACTTCAAGCCCCCGTATTTCATCTTGAAGTTGCTCGAAAATAGTCTGAGCTTCTGCGTTTTGCGACTGAAGCCGCTGTTGTTGCTGAATCAGCTCGAGTTGCCTTGCTCGGGCATTACTTATTGCTTTTTCAACATCTTGGATTTCTTTCTCGACGCTTGCAGTCTCGTTGTGAACGATCTCTCTATCCTTTGTGGCTGATGCCAATCTGGGACAAAACATACGCATCATGCTCTCTATGCGCAGCCCGTTTTTACCTTTGATTTGCTACATCGATTGATAATTGAAGGTCTGACAACTTTTGCAACAAACGGCTTGAATCCATTCAACCTCTTCCTGCCGAATGGAAGAACGGAAATAGCAAAAAAAAAAAAATCAGAAAAATAAGTCTGGCTAAAATCTGCGAAAAATGTTGCCCTTTTCCATCTGAATTAGGGAAAGCGGCAAACCTCAGCAAGAAGACAATGAAGGTTTTTGAATTTAGCAACACACATCAGAGCTGAGCCGAAGTATTCGTCTATTGGTCCCATAAAAACTTTGTGCGGAGCGCTTTTTCTACAAAAGAACTCTGAGCGTCACTTTAAACATTGAGTAGCACGAGCAGCAGGGATTGAAACCTAAGTAAAGAGTCGTAAGTCTCTCGGATGTTCTAGCGTCACGTTTGAGCATTCGTTCAATGGAGCGAAAAATAAGCAAGAGAAAGGATAAAAAGGATTCCAAATATCCAGCAAAACGGATTTTCTGAACAAAGGAGCATCAAAGTTCAACTTTCAAGCGACTTACGCAAAACGCACTGAGGTGTCGACCGGTACTCTTCATCGTACCGGCTTTCTCTTGCGGGATATCTAACTTCGTACTGGGCTGAATGTTGCGAGCTTGATTCAAACATATAAACCCGCGGGGCCTTTCCAATATTCTCATAGCCAGCTTCAGGATCGTCATCAAGATCGCTCCTTGCCTCAACTGGAGTTTCGCGCCCTGCCTCAATTGTAGTTTCGCTCTCAGAGTCGTGGCGCAATAACGAGTCTTGAGCCGACTCCACTAGTTTTGCTTCTTCGTTTTCTTTACGGCACTGATGCATCAAAAAACATGGATCGCCAAACATAATTAGCTGGGAATCGTTCTCATATTCGTTCATTCTAATAGCGTTACAGAATCAATTGGAATGAGGGAACGAATTGGAATGTGGCAATTCTCTGTGGACGTGCATCACAATATACATTTTCTGATCCACAGTCATCTTATTCACAAGAAAGGAAACCTGTTGAATTTTTGCGTGACGAAAAAGAGAAAAATTGCACTTTACGATTCAATCGCGAGAGAAGTTTTCACTCCGACGCCTCTTTCTTCAGTTGGTTTTCTTTTTTGTAAACATCATCCATCGCTGTAGCCAAGTTAACGTTATCATCTCTGAGCTCATTAGCTGATAAATGCACCGTAGCCGCAAGTGCGTTCGATTTCTTGCGGATTTGATTTTCTAGTCCCTTCGCAATTGCAATGAAATCTTTTATGACAATTGCAGTATTATTTCGCAATATTTGTACAAGCTCATCCGCATTTTGTTTCATTTCATTTGAGAGTTCTTCGAACTTTTTACGATCAACGACAATTCTATCTTTAGAAAGAGGTTCTTCTTTTGATGAAATGGTCGTCGTTGATGTTGTAGTCAATGTCTCTGGCATTCCTGTCGCTCTTGCTATTGTTGTCGTTGCTGTCGTTGTTTTGGTCGCTGTCGTTGTTTTAGTTGTTAGCGCCGTTCCTGGCGTCCCTATTGGTTTTGCTGTTGTAGCTGTTGCTGTTGTTGTTTCTGTTGTTGTTTCTGTCGTTGTTGCCGCCCTTTTTGGTGAACCAGGTGGAGCTTTAATCGCCGTGGAAGTCTCAGCTGGGTGAAGGGATGGCGCTTCAGTGGTTGTTGTCAGGAGTGATTCATTCTTCCCTGAACCGGCTTCTAATGCCTTGTAAGCATCTGCCAGGTATTTCGCAGAATCTGGCTTTCCTGCTGCAGACTGATAGAGGCGAGTGATGAACTCAACATTAGTAGTATTTGCAACGTCAACTAAGGCTTCAGCCAAGGCTTGGATCTCAGGCCCACGTAAGTTCTCCACTTGACCCGAAGAAAAGTGAGCAAGAAATAGCAGGGAGGCTGTAACGAGGAAAGATCGAGACATTGCAACTTTAGAGCAAAGAAAAACAGAAGGATAAATCGAAAAGTGGTGAATTTTTTGTTTTGTACACAGTGCATGCATCCAAGTGAAAATTCTCAAAACGCGTCAATCAGAGACCCGAGTGCATCACCAATAACAGCAATACTCTTGATTGAAGTACAAAGAGTTCGTGACCTAGACACTATCAGGTGGATGACGTGAGCACAATTGCTTAACCAAAGCAGCCAACAGTAAACATAGATGTTTTTTATGGCAGCGTGTCCGAGTGGTTAAGGAGATGGACTAGAAATCCATTGGGGTTCCCCCGCGCAGGTTCGAATCCTGTCGCTGTCGCATGTGAATTGTGTTCTGAATTTCTGCTCTGTATTCGTCTAGTTGCGTTCCAATAGATCAAATTGAAGAAAAGTTGATCTTGGCAGAATTCATTGTTTGAAAGAAAACAGATAGAAGATAGCAGCAACTAGTGAGCGATAATAGCACAAATTGTTGAAAAACAAAGCACCATTTCGGTACGAGACAAATAGTCACATTGTACAAACATCAGTCTCAAAAAATCACCCCCCACGATTCATTCTTTGATTTCAATAGTTTGAAGCTGATTTGCACTAAATGACGGAATCAGTGCCGCAAAAACAAGTTGCCCCAAAAAAACAGAAGAGAGAAAAAAAAGAGAAAAAACCAGCTTCGCAAAAAAAAGAAGGTCCCTCCACCCTAGATGTGATCAAGGAATGCATTCGGTCGAAAAAAGATCGAAAAGGTAAGTGCTTCAACTTGGAAGTTCGTCAATCCGAGATTTTATTTAGGAACATCTCGCCAGACAATTCTCAAGTACGTTTGTGATGTGACGCACCATGATGTGGACCAACGAATGAGAAGCCTAGTGAATCGTGTTTTGAAAGCCGGTGTTGAAAAGAAAAAGCTGCAATTGGTCGGTGCTCGTTATAAAATAGCAGGGACGTCCTCGGAGACGAAAAAAACGTGAGGTCCCCAAGAAACGCACTCTTCCAAAGAAGAAGACGTCCACCGAAAAGGCAGGGGCTGCAAGACGGAGTATCGGCGGTGCGGAGAAAAAGGTGAAGAAATCAATTGACAAGAAAGCTAAAAAGAGTTCCAAGACGAAAGCGGGAAGCAAAACCACTTCATAAAGTGGCTCAATAGCAATAATTGTTGATTGTATTGTTCAGTCTTTTACTCAGACTTTAATTGACCACCCGTACACAGGTTTGTCAATAGATCACTTGGACCACTGGGCAGCGGTTTTCAACCCATCCAGAAACATAAACATAAAGCACAAAGTCATCATAAATGGCTGAAAAAAATCAAGCGAACTTCTCAAACTACGAACAATAACCCTCCGGTAATGTTCATTTGTCAGTTACCAAGATGGAAAATATCCGAATGGTGAAACTTCATCGAAATTGGTTTTGCTTGAGGCAAAATTGAGCTGCTCTCCGAATTTCTTGAATAAATTCGCCGTTTTGTTGAAGTCAGCTTTTCAGATTCCTCCGTTGCTTTAAGAAACTGGACGTTTCTCCGTTTTCCTCCACCTGGAGAAGACGTTTCCCTCTGGTGGGCAGCCATACAATCCCGGCACTTCTGTTGCAGCGTTGTAACAGATTTCGAGGGTCGTCGGCAGTCGTCCGCTTCTTCAGCATTGGGACACATATCAGTCCCAATACCGCCCTAAAAAGAAAGAATCTTGATGCGCTTTCTCTTCGTCTCACTTGATGAGTTCGGAGGGAAACTTTCTTGATAATTCCATCGTGCACCTTCGCATCCTTCGTAGGATGGAGATGCAGACCACTTCTCTGATACAAAACCATTTCTCTGGTCCCCATGTCTTCAACTCACCTCCAGCGAGTCTTTATTAACTGTTGCTGATCTCGGTTTGTCGATGCATCCGTGATAGAATTGTGATCTTGCTGTTGGGAGCGTGTAGGTGGAAGACGTTCATTCCATCGCGTGAATCAGGACGATAAAACTTCCTCGGTGGAACGACTTGCGAATCTGTCGTATGCATCAACACCTCAGCGATGTTGGAAGACTTCGACATTGCGTTGGGTTTGCGCCTCGACCCACAAACCTTCTCAAGTTCATAAGAAGTTGAAATCTGGTGGGGGAATATATTGGGACTTCATCACGATATCCACTTGTTCGCTGCTCTTCTCTCTTGGTTCTGACGACTGCCGCACGGCTGGTCGGTGAAGGACAATTTCTTCTGCGAGTTTAACAATTGGGTCGCAGATCTTTGTTTCGCATTGGGACAAGCTTCTTCCCTTGCCTCGCAGTTCCTAGTTGGCCTTCACTCCTCGTGCGAGAAACACGAGAACCGCTCGACTTCTTTTGTGGGACCGATTCTTGCGTCGTTTTTTCCTGCATATGGGACCTGTGTCCGCAGAAGGGTAAAAGCGCTGTATTTTTTGTTTGGAATGGGACTTGCTTCTGGTATGGTATTGGTGGTCCTTTGCTGAGTAGAGTCCACGCATTGGGGTTCGGAATATCCTTGAACGAGTTCTCCATCTGATTCTGTGTGTTCGGTCTGAACGGACCAAAGGGGATTTCGCTTCCCAGAGAGCACTTAATCATCTAGGACTCATGCGTGTCCACAATCTGCAGGTCAGAGTTTAAAAATAATGGTCATGAATCTGGAAAAAAATCAAAACTCGCGGGAAATTCAAATTCCCTTTCAGAATCGAGTCTTTCGTTTATGTAAAAATTAGGTACAGATTCAACTTCAATCTCGGCAGATTCACGGGCCGACTTTCCTAGACTGTAAAAGGTGAAGGCTATTGCGCTGAACGGCAGTGATCGCTCCGGCAGCAGCAATGACAATCGCTGCTGCTGGAGGCGTCTCCACCTTCGGAGCTCGTGGAATCCACATCAGCAGCCGTTACGGGAAGTGATGTTGGTGTGAACTCCAAAGATGCATCAGTTGCAGGAATAGTTGTCACGATTTCTTGCTGGCCTAGAGACAACGGTACCAATGTTGGAGTGAAAGGCGTGGGCGCTGATGTAGATTCAATGTCAACATTGATTTCAAGGGCCTGAAGACGAACGAGAGAAACAGATGCGTGAAGCGCCAATAGAACAAGTATCGGGTCCTTCAACCAGTTTGCTAAGAAGTTAATCATATATTCGCGATGATTTATAGAAACCTTCCCCAATGCATGCTACACCAAAAAAAAGACACTAAAAGCAAAAAGGCCAGAACACGATCTCCTGACTATCCCAATTTTCAAAGTTACGCACCAAACAAAATTATAGCACAAATTTAATATATGCAAAGGATTCTCAGGTTCAGTACTCCCTCCAATAGCCATGCTAAGTCGGGCTTTGGAGAAACACAAGCGCAAGCGTGTCCGGGCAGACGAAGAGGAAACCAAACATGGAGAACCATCAGCCAAACGTTCATCGGGTTTGCTGTCCCCGTCGGGGCCCTTAAAGCATATGATCAAGAGCCACGGTTTACAGAGGAAAGCATGCGTGCTGGTCTGCGTTCGTGGCTGAGGCATTGAGTTTGACCTTAAGTTTCCAAGCGACCAATTGCAAGCTGGGTGAGCTCCGACTTATAGAAGCACGCTTTTTTAGTTCGGTTTTGCATTAGGTTATTTTTCTCGCCTTCGTGATATTGTGTATCGCACGGGCTTCGATCCAAATCGAAAACCTCTCATTTCACCAACAGAATTTCATTGGCCTCTAGCAACTCTGTTGCAAAGAAATCCCGAAATCAGTATCACTCAAACTATTCAGAACGTTTTGCCAGCAGAATCTGAGTTGCCTCTCGAGCCCCTTCTTCCCCAACAATCCATATGCTGTGAATCATCAAAT